TGTTTTCCACCGCCACCACCATAAGTTGGAGGGGGAGGGGGTCCTCTTCTCCTCCTCCTCCTCCTCCTCCTCCTCCTCCTCCTCCTCTTCCTCCTTTTCCTCCTCTTCCTCCTCCTCCTCCTCCTCCGCCTCCTCCTCCTCCTCCTACTCGTCCTTCCCCCCTCCAACTTATGGTGGTGGTGGTGGAAAACAGACCCATCACACCATGTCTGGGCCTCGACTGATGAGCTTCGGGGAGCCGTCAGGCTCCTGCAACTCGCACGAGCACTCGCGCAGGCGAGCGCTTCGCGTGGGCACGCCTGTGCTAAGCGGATTCGCTGACTCGTAGACGGACAGCCGTGATGGCGGCTATCGTTTGGGGCCGACGCGGGTAGGGTGCCTCACAGCTGCCTGGCAGCTGCACCTTGACACGGGATGAGAGAAGGAGAAGAGAGGAGGGATGGAGAAGTGAGGAAACCTGAGGTATCAGGAGGAGGAAGAGGAGGCGGAGGAGCGCAGATTGGCGTCCGCAACGCGGGCGAGGATCTGCGGCGCCGAGCGATGGAAGAGGCGCCGAAGAGCGGATCCACAGAAACAGCTTGTGCAGGAGAACGGCGCGAAATCCGATGCGGGGAGAAGCAGACGGCGGAGGAGGAGGAGGAGGAGGAGGAGGAGGAGGAGGAGGAGGAGGAGGGGGGCAGAGAGGAGGCAGGAGCGAGGAGGGACGAGCGATGAGGAGAGAGGGAGGACTGTGGAGCGAGGGAGGGGCAGGGAAGCATGCCGGAGGGGGCGCGGACGGCCAGGGGGGGGAGCGGAGCGGAGAGGGGGCCCCAAGGGCGCCCAGAACACAGAGGGAAGCCCAGGGCGCCCCCTGGCGTTTTTTGGTGGAAAGTACAGGAACTCCACAAAAACATGTTCCCCCGCTTGTCCCCGCCAGCAAAATAAGAGGCTCCCCAGGACAGGTTCTCCAAATCCGCCCCCTCCCTCTTCTCCACCTCTTGCTCCCTCCAAGAGGATGGAGGAGGGAGTGGAGAGGACGTGGATAAGAAAGCGGACCTGGAGGAGGAGGAGGAGGAGGAGGAGGACGCGGAGGCGGAGGACGAGGACGAGGAGGTGGAGGAGGACGACGAGGTGGAGGAGGAGAAGGAGGAGGAGGATGTGGAGGAGGAGAAGGAGGAGGAGGAGGAGAACGTGGAGGAGGATGTGGAGGAGGAGGAGGAGGAAGACGAGGAGGGAGAGGGGGGCACTGTGATCAGACGTTGCAAGCTCTCGACGTTCTCGAAGGGCACGGCTGGAGCTGTCGACCCCGCCTCCCTATGTGATTTCCGAGCCGCACCGATCCGTGAGGGTCCGGGGTCCCGAAATGGGGCGGCAATGTCCGCCATGTTTTCGGCGCCCCATTGACTATCCGCCCCTCCGAATGTGTCATTATCTAGCCGAGTCTGGACTTGAGGGCACGATGTTGAACCCAGTTCTTCGTGGCTCGTTTCTTCTCCCTCTCCCTTCCTCCTCCCTTTGGCGTTGTGACAAGTACAGCGCAGGGGCCGTTCACTGCACGTTTGCCCCCAGGGATGGTCACCCAATGTCTGCCCCCATGTGTGTAGCTTATGTTCCTATGGTGCGGCAGGCGGAGATATCTGCGGGTTCCATCATGTGGCCCGTGGTCCGCCCCAATTGTTCCCTTCTGCACAACATGCCCATCTCTTCTTCGGGGCTGCGATCCCGACGCCCACGATCTGGTAGGAGTGTGGGACCAGGGGCGAGGAAGGGGGTAGAAGGAGAGGGAGGATGACGAGGAGGAGGAGTTCGAACTTCGGGTGCGAGGTGGTGGACATGCGCGATATCACGGCACGCCTCCAAAACAGCGGAGGAAGAGGAGGAGGAGGAGGAGGAGGAGAAAGAGGAGGAGTAGGAGGAGGAGAAGGAGGAGGAGAAGAGGAGGAATCGCGGCACGTGTCTGACGAATGTGCGCGGCGCTGAAGCGAGAGCCACATTTTGGAGGCCGCTGGTGTCCCCGTCGCCCTCCCGTCCGCGCAGCTGCCAGCATCGATCGCCATCCTGTTGGCGCCGCCTCCCTCGCTCCCCCGCCTCCTCTACGTGCGCGAGCTCATGCCGGAGCCTGACGCCGGAGAGAGGGAGCGCGGTGGCCCCCGGTGGTCGCAGGAGTCCCCGGCAGTGCCCCCGCAGTGGCAGGATTGGTGGGAGGAGGGAGGGCTCGAAGGAGGAGGAGGGGAGGGAGGAGGGAGGAGGGAGGAGGAGGGCAGGATGAAGGGGGAGGAGGGAGGAGCGAGGGGGGAGGAGGGAGGAGGGCCGAGGAACGAGGGAAGGGGGGAGGAGGGAGGAGGGAGGGAGCAGGGAGGATTGGTGGAGTGGGAGGAGGCAGGAGGGAAGGATAGGAAAGGGAGGGTGAAGCAGGAGCATGAGGAGCAGCATGAGGAGGAGGAGGAGGAGGAGGAGGAGGAGGAGAAAAAGGAAGAGGAGGAGGAGGAGGAGGAGGAGGACGTTGGAAGGGCGGTGCCAGGGCCAACCCGAAGTCCCTCAAGCAGTCCCTGGTGGGCGGCGGCCGCCCTATCATGGCCAGGCTGTCCTCGCCGGCCCGGCGCTGCTCGCTCTGCAGCGCCCTCGAACGCAGAGAAGGAGGAAGGGAAGGAGCGAGGCAGGAGACAGAAGAGACAAGCCATCCCACGCAGTGGTCATGGAAAGGAGGTGGCACGAGAGAGCTGCCCAACCTCGCCGGGGAGCGTTCGGCCACAGACCGTGGCTAACCTGAGAAGAGCTTCTCGACGATCGGGGGTCGATTTTTTTATGCGAGCATGGTCTCGGCAGCCCACGCACGGCAACATGGGCACAGAACCCACGATCCTGACAAAACGACATGTGATGAGCCTTCTGGAGGCTCACAGAGGGTCAGGAAGATGATTCGACGGAAGAGGACCAGAGTACGCCCAGGGTGCACCAGCGACGCTGCAAGCAAAAAGCCTTCCGCCTCCCTCTCTCCTTCCTCCCATCTCTTCCTACCTTGAAGGCTGCGCCAACTGCCCGTGGCAGGTGAGGAAGACCTACAGTCGAGCATTTGATAAAGAAGCCTCCTCCCGAAAAGCTAGGCCAGCGTTTCTCAACGAGCTTGATGGCAAGCTGGCCCAGTTTCTTGAGCACGTTCGCCCCTCCATCGCGAAGGGCAGAAACTGGCCCGGAGTTGTTTCAAGAAACCTCCAGGAGGTTGGCCCGGATTTCTTATACGACAGGTTTCTAGATCATATTCTTGGCCGTACCCTTAAGTCGGGCCTGTCCCTCTTCAGGGGGAATATTCAAAAATAGCCACAAAATAGTATGGGGACTATTTTTTAGTATTTTTGCATGTTTGAAATAGTTTTGAGTATTTGTCATTTTTCGTCCAAGGGGAATATTCTAAAATAGCCAAAAATAGTATGGGGACTGTTGTTTTGAGGATGTTTGGGCATCTGTTGAGTATGTTTTGAGTATCGCTTATATTTTTCGTCCATAACCCCCCAGTAGGGGGACAGGCCCGACCTAACCGTACCAGGAGGACCATCGAGGAGCATCCTTGATCATTTGGTGAAAAAACCACGCACGAAACCGACAAAAAAACACATGGAATTGACGTCCCAGCGATGGCCAGCAGGGGGGCACGGTCGAAGGCGAGAGGGGCGGGCATCGCAGGCCCGGGGGAGCGCACATCTCGCGCGACGCGAGCAGCGAAGAGCGCGCCGCTGCTCGTCGCCCTCGCCCGCGGCCCGCCGGCGGCCCCACACCTGGCGACGCTCGGGAGCCTGGAGACGGGGGTCAATGCAAGCCGGGGTCAGCCAGGGCACCAGATCCTGCAGGATCCTGCGAAGACCCCCTCTGGCTGACCCGGGTTAGCGAGCCGCTCGTGGCCTCGAGGCGGCCGCGCATATTGGCTGACCCGGGTTTGCGAAGACCTGCGTTGCAGTTGTTTGTTCCTGCATTGCAGTTTTTGGTTTCCTGCTGACCCGGGTCTGGATTGACCCAGGTCAGAAGATCCCCGAGACGCGGCCCGGCGACCCACCCGCGACCCACCCGCCCATACTCTGGGGCAACGATAGGGTAAAGTCGGGCCTGTCCCTCTACAGGAGGAATATTCCAAAATAGTCAGAAAATAGTCTGGGGACTATGTTTTGATCATTGCTTGACAATTTTAGAGTATTGTTTTGGTATTTTTTATTGTTCGTCGAAAAATCCCCCTGTGGGGGGGACACGCCCGACTTAACGATAGGGGGGAATAGGCATACAGTCGGCCCGGATTATTAGGTCGACCCTGCCAAACCAAGCGTGCTCTCGTGTCCTGTGTGTTCACGACACATGCCTTTACACTATTGTGGCAATGTGGCCCTCGGAAGGGTCTTGTGTCCTCTCGCGTGTCCTCTCGAATCAATCCCGACTGTAGGGGGGATGCATCGATCCCGAATCGCCCATTGATCGCCGATAGGGGCCCGATAGCCCCAACCTGCACAGGAAGGCGCGGATTCACTGTCGGGGGCCTATCACCGATCTCTCGGCGATGTATCGCCGATTCCAGGTCGATGCATCCCCCCCTATGCCAGTCCCCCCCGATCGTTGCCCCTCACATACGGTGGGGGCGTTCGTTAAGGAATGTGCCTGGTAGGCTGCAGACCCTGGAGGGTTCTTTGTGCAAAGAGGGCGGCGGTGATGTCCATGGCCGATCCACGATTGGAGTTCCACGGGCTTCCAGACCCTGGATTCCTTATCCAAGGGCTCCTCATCCAGTGCTCCCACCTACTGCCCATGAAGGCGGCCAGCGTGGACACGCAGACTTGCACGAATTCACTCACGGGCCGCGCGCCCTTGAAGAGCAAAAAACACGTGCTCTCTCCCATGTTGTCTTGACGGAAACGGCGCCCGCGGAGGGGTCCTCGTCTAATGTGTAAGAAGATAGGCGCCTGCGGCGGGCCTCTTCACACATGCTGCCGAGCCTCGCAGGGTGCCGACGACTCCATGACCCCTGACGTTTATCCGCCACTGCGGGCCATGGTAAGGCAGAGGGGTTGGAGAAGGAGAAGGCGGACAAGGAAGGGGTCCCATCCGTCTCCCTCACCGCCGACATCACCATAGCATCCTCCTGGTCCCCGCTCCCTCCTCTTTCTTCCTTCTATCTAGGCCTGGGTCTGCATGCTGACGGCCGTTTGCTCCTTGCTAGACTGCTGCAGTTGCCAATGCCAATACCGCCTCCTCTAAGACGATGGCTTCTGCAGTAGAAGATGAGACTGGTTGCCGCAGAAACATGCCAGACATAGTTACGGGACATCTGGCACCCTTTGCGCGACCTGATGCAACACCCTCTCTAAGTACCAAGCAGTTGCCGAGCATGCGCTTGCCAGGGCCCCGCCGTCGACGTGCAGCAGCAAACTAACAGAGTCTAAAAGCGTGTGGCCTGGCATGTGAAAGCGGAGGCACCATGGTCTGCGCTTGTCCATCGTATGGTTCACCAAACATTTCGCGACTTGACTCCACTCCCGCGGTCTCCACTGGACGGCATCGTCGATGTCCTGTGCAGTTTTCCAGCCTCTGTCAAATACTTGAAATATGCGTTGGGCCGACCTGACAAACAGGGGCTCGAGTTGAGGACTGGTCAGTGCGATCTCCTCGTTGGCTACGCCCGCCATCTGTTGGCAATCGGTGACCGTTGCAAGTCTGCGCGATCCGCTCTGGAACTGCAGCTCCGGCGCTCCTTCCCCATGTTGGTCGTCTGGCGGCTCCTCCAACTCGTGTTCGGCCGGCCGCTGGCGCTCTGGCGAAGCGCCGCAGCTGGCGAAGTGCTCTGGCGGGCCAGGCCGCTGGACACGGAGCGTTGCTCGAACTCCAGATGCATTTTCATTCAGTCTGATGTTGTACAGCATTTGCCACGTAAGTCGCGCCAGGTGCTGCCATACGCTGAAACAGAAACATCTCCCAATTCACGCGGTGCCCCATGCCAGAGCGTTCGAGGTCTTCTTGCCGACGACGCTAAAGCTAGAAATCATATTGGTTATTTCCCAAAACTCTCTGCCACGATGCATGCGGACCTGTATTTGAAAATTGTTAACATTGTGTGGCCTTGGTGATATTTCACGCCATGCTCCTTTGACGACCTGCTGGAGCACTCTCAAGTGCGAAGGTCGTACACCCGTTTTGTTCAAACCACTTTTATAGTCTGTTCGTCGCACGGCTCATGAACGCTGCTTGGCCGTCTCGCGGTCGCCTCCGGAGCCCAAACGTCTTTCGCAAGCAGGACAGCTCCCAACGGCGCAACCTCATCAGTACGTCATGTTTGGCTGAGTGCCACGTGACCGAGCCGTGCGCCGCACTGGCTGCCAGTCCATTCGCCCACGCGTGGAGCCAGTCCAAAAGAGGTCATGGACCCCGTAGAACTCCTCTTCCTCCTCCTCCTCCTCTTCCTCCTCTTCCTCTTCCTCCTCCCTCCCTCCTCCTCCGACTCCTGCTCCTCCTCCTCCTCCTCTTCCTCCTCCTCCTCTTCCTCCTCCTCTTCCTCCTCCTCTAGGACTCCAACAGGTGCCCTCTGATGTTATTAACATGTGCTCCAGGCTGGCAGTAGAGTCCGCCTTCTTGCTCACCATCGCTCCCAAAGCTTCCATGTTGTCGACCGTGTTGAGTGTCAGGACGCCTCTGGCCTGGTGCACGATAGGTGGCTGTGGTTGCGGTGCTCCCGACGACGCTCCACAAATCCTACATTGCAGCGAAGAAGTTTTCCACTTGAACCCAACGCGGCGATCGACTCGATGAGTTTCTGCACCATGTCCTGGAACATGGTACATTCAAAACGAAACTGTATATGTATGCATCGATCTTTTTACGATTGCTCGGTATGCGCCCTGGGAGCTCCAAGCCGCACTTCATTCTGGCAATCTCCCGAACAGTTGATGTAACCAGAGCGTGAGGCGCCCCCTGGCCAACCATCAATTCGAACCGCTTCTTCCTTCTCCTCCTCCTCCTCCTCCTTCTCCTCCTCCTCCTCTTCCTCCATCATTATTTTCCCCCTCCTCCTCCTCCTCGTCCTCCTCCTCCTCCTCCTCCTCCTCCTCCTCCTCCTCCTGCGCCTGCCATCCCCCCCCCCTACCCCCGCGAGAGCTGGGAGAAAGAATACGGGGCCCAAAGGTAGAAGGAGGAGGAGGACGAGTTACACCATCACCACCTCCCTCATCCCCTCCCTCCCCCAGGAAAGAGGAGAGGAAAATCAGGGTGGAGGAGGGGGGAGGACTCGGCATCTTGGGGCCCGCAAAGAGGGAGAGATATGGAGTGAGACGCAGGGAGATGGAGGAGGAGGAGGAGGAGGAGGAGGATACTTGCCTCCTCCCGCTCTCCCCCGCCCTCCTCCTCGTCATCCGCCCCCCCCTGCCCCTCCCCCTCCCCGCTCCCCTCCGTCTCCCCCTCCCCTCCTCCTTCGCGCCCCCCCCCCGCCCTTCGCCCTCCCCCCCCCCCCAGGGGTGCCCCACTCGGGTCGTGCTGGGGCCTCCCAGCACAGGCGGCGAGGCCCGACGGCAGGGCCCTCTCCGAGGGGGCCTTCTGCCAAGGGGGGGGGGGGGGGCCGCCGCGCCGCGGGGCGGCGCCCTCCTCGAGGTGCCTGCGGACCCTCCTGGCGCAGCGGCCACGACGACCTTGCCCTTTCCCCCTCCCCTTCCCCTGTCCGTCCCCCTCCTTCCGCTCCCCACTCCCCCTCCGCCTCCCGCCTTTCTCCCCATACCCCTCCTCCCCTCCCCCCCCCCTCCCCATGCCCCTTTTCCCCTCCCCTCGCCTCCCCCATCCTCCCCCCCACAATGATAGAATATGAATGCTACTCTCCTCTCTCCACTGGATATGAATGATGAATATACTGGCCCCCTCGCGGGAAATGGGTTTTCATTAGCGTTTGTTTCAAAATGTCGTTCCCATTGAAGCGTTGGCCCCATTTCTGCGCTTCTGATTGTTCCAAATCGCGCCCCCGCTGCAGCGCGGGCGTGTCAGGTCCTTCCAAGCAAGTTCCTAAAATCTAGAAAGTGGCCCTTCCGAAAAAGCCATCTCAAGTGATTCCACATTCAGTGTCAATTCGTTGATGTTATGGGCCGCAGCAGCCCCACCCCACACTTTGGGCGTCGTCGCTTTTCAGGAAGTATCAAGCGGGAGCCCCGTTTCTGCTTTGAGAAGGCGATGTTGAAAGCAGAGCCAGCGGGTGCTCTCCATCAGCCCCGCCTTGTGTGGAGCTTTTCGGGGGGCACAAGGAGCTAGACATGGAGCCACGACCCCAGACAAGCCCAGACCTTTCGAAGACGATCCATTCAACCTCCACAGAAAACGGTGCCATGCCGTGACATGTTGTGCGGTGTTGTGTTCTGCGACGTTGTGCGATACCATGCTTTGCGTTGCAATTATTTGTGATACAATGCTGCACTGCGCAATGCCACGCCATGCTATGGCATGCTACGCTCTGCCGTGCTCTTCTACGCCATGCCATGCCGTGCTCTACCATGCATCGCGTACCATCTCCCGATCACTGCCCTGTTCGACATCCGACTGTGCGAATAGGGAGGGTATCTACGCCAAGGGACGGGAGAGAGGGGTCGGATGTCAGATATGACGCGAGCGCATCTAGCTTGCCCTGGTCCCCTCCGCCTTCTCCCCCCCCTGCCCCTCCCCTCCCCCCCTTCCCGTCTTCCACCACCCCCGCTTCGGACGGCCTCATCAGGCGGGGTGCCAACTTCCGAGGCGGCCCGCCTGGTTCCCTCTTTCAGTGGTTTCGCCCAGCGGATCCAGCGACTTCCGCCGCCCCCACCCCGCCCCTGCCCCGCTTGCCGCCGCCGCCGCCGCCGCCACCGCCGCCTCCGTCGTCGTCGTCGTCGTCGTCGTCATCGTCGTCGTCGTCGTCGTCGTCGTCGTCGTCGTTATGCTCGTCGTCGTCGTTATGCTCGTCGTCGTCGTCGTTGTGCTCGTCGTCGTCGCTGTCGTCGCCGCAGGCCTGGCGGCCGCTGAGCCGAGCAGCCCCCCGCCGCCGCCCTCCCCGCGCCGCGGCGCGGCGGCCGCCTGCGCCGCCCGCAGGCGGGGCGCCCCCCTTGGGCGGGCACGCCCGCGCCGCCTGGTCTCTGGACGCCCGACATGGGTATTGAAAGAATGGGTACGATGCCCAACAGCGGTTCCTGTTCATTCTGAACAGGACTCGCTGTCCGCGCCGCCGCGGCCTGTGTTCATTTGAGACAGAAGGCCGCCTGCCCAACAGCGGCCGCTGTTGGTTCGGGACAGCATTTGTTGTTGGGCATGTTGCCCATTCTTTCGGTACCCATTTCGGGTGTCCAAATGGTCGGCCGCCTCGACGTCGCGCGCCCGCCGACGGCGAGGGTGAAGATTCGGGGGAGGAAGATCGAATTCCTCGTGGGCAACATCGCGACGGGAGGTTTTTCTCTGTTTTCGGCCTCCACGGGGCGCTTGCTGGGCTTCGGGTCCGTCAGACAACGGCCCAGGACGAAGAAACGGTCCCGGGGAAGGGGTCGAGACCTCTGGAAGTCGACGTTGGGAAAACATCACGACATCGGGGGTCTTGGCAGTGAGAAGGGTGAGAAGGGGCGGGCCTTCTCAGAAGGCTCGGAAGTCCCCTTGCCTTCTGGGAAGTTTTGTCAGCCTTCCCCGAAGGCACAAAACCTTGTTTTAAAAGAAGGCGGGAAGACCTCTGAGAAGTCCCGCCGCCTTCTAAGAGGGCCTTTTCCTTCTCACTTCCCCCGCGCTCGCCGCCGAGAAAGGTGCCGATGCCGCTAACCTTGTCTCGTTTTCGCAGTGTTGGGTATCTTGGGAGGTGCAGCTGCTTCCCCTGGCGGTAGGTCCTGCTTTTCTGCGCGCGCGCCGGCACTTAGGTTCGCTCGTAGCCCGAGCCGACTAGACCCGCTGCGGGCGCCCTCGCCTGTAGCCGCGACGAAAAATCTTAGGAGGCCCTCGTCGCCACGGCTGGAGGTCTGGGGAGCAGCGGTACCCGTCGGTCGTTGAAAGTAGATATTTCTGGATGCCCAGACCCCAGTCTGTTTTAGTGCCGCCACCCCTCTCACCAGAGATCCAACGTATTGAAAAGATCAAGACGTAGATTTTTCGTATGTTTTGGCCTCGAGGGGCCCTCGCCGGGCCCCAGGACCGTCCAGCAACGACTCAGGACGACAAACCGGTCCTGGGGAATGGGTCGAGACTTCCAGGGACCCCGCATTGAAAAAGTCACGACATCGGATCCCTGGGTCACTTCGGCACACCCCTCACACGCTTCGTGGCCCCATAAGGGGGCTACACCAAAGGCGCCAGTGGCTGCGTTCGCACGCCGCCACCCCCTATCACTTTGGCGCACCCCTCACACTTTTCCTGGCCGCGTACAGAGGAGGAGGAGGAGGAGGAGGAGGAAGAGGAGGAGAGGAGGAGGAGGAGGAGGAGGAGGAGGAGGAGAAGGAGAATGAAATGGATGGTGGGGAGGAGGAGGAGGAGGAGGCAACGCCCGCATGTCTTCTCCCGCTTCTCCAAGCGCCTGTCAGCCGCAACGGGTTATGTCAGCATGCAAACTGTTTCGTTTGACCTCCGCGCCCCCTGCGAACGGCCCCTCGCCTGGCGGCCCCGCCCCATTTCGGCGTTCCCTTCACGCGTTTGGCGCTCCCGTAAGGAGCTCCACCGAAGGCGGTTCTCACAAGTGCTGTACTCACAGCATCACCCCCCTTCAACGGAGGCTCCAGTGGGTAACCCCCCGAGGTCCTGCGTCGCTGTTTCCCGTTGTCTCGGGGAGTGCACTAAGTCTTCGCAGGATCTTTCGTCGCCGTTTTGTCTCCGGGTTCCTCGGCATTATTTGGGGCGCGTGATGTGGACCACGGCTTGCTCGCGGGCCTCCTTTGGGCGCGTGGCCTTATGGGGGGCGCCACCGAAGGCCCCAGCGTCAGGATTCACATGTGTCCCCTGGCAAATTTGGGCACACACACACATCACACGATTCGTAGCCTAATAGGGAGCTCCACCGAAGGCCTCAATAGCAGGGGCTCGCATGCGCCCCAAGTCCAGTTTTGGCACACCACTCACACAGCGCGTAGCACTATAGGAAGATTCAGGGAGTTTCACCGACGGCGCTTGTGGCAGGGTTCGCGTGCGTCCCGAGGCCCATTTTGGCACACCCCTCACACTGTTCGTGGACCCTCTGGGAGCTCCACCGAAGGCCCCTGTGGCAGGGTTCGCACGCGTCCCCAGGCCCATTCTGGCACAGCCCTCACACGGCTCTTGGCCACACAGTGAGCCCCACCGAAGGCCCCAGTGGCAGGGCTTACGTGCGTCCCCAAACAAAGTTTAGCACAGTCTTCGGAGGCTTCGCATCCCCATGGGGAGCTCCACCGACAGCAGTACCAATTCCTCGGTATTCACAGTTGCATCTGGTTGGGTTCTTCGCCAGGATAATTTTCGTGGGCGGGGGGGGGGAAAGGAGAGGGGAACGGGGAGGGGGAAGGCGAGCGTCATTTTCGGCATGTAGTACCACTGGGTGGGCACATTGCCGAGCCCGTTAGGATGTTCCGTCGTTGTCATGCCTTGCGCCGTCGTTTTGCAACGACCGTGGGGAAAAGCGTCGTCGCAAGCACCTTGGTGCTCGCACGGCATCGTGGTGCTCACAGGGTGGCGTGATGCCCACGCGCATTCTTGTGCGTTTCGATGAGTGCCCAGGTGCGTTGCACTCACTGGTGCCAGCGAGCTAGCAACCACCATCGTGTTCACAGGCAGTGGCAACCACCGCGCCCTTGAATTGCAAAATCTTCGCTTTGAGAGTCGCCCTCGGAAGGCGCAAAGGAACATCGAATCCGAAATTGCCCGAATCAGAATGCTCGGATCGACATGTCTCGTTGAAAGTCGTGGAGCAAGGCGCTGCAAAAGCAAGGCAAACCCAAAACCGCATCGCGCACTTGGAATACCGAGCGCCTTGCGAGCTGGATATATATATATATGTCCTTCCTAGAGAAGGTTCAAGAGAGCTCCAAAGGCTCTCCCTCGAGAGGTGCGTCGCGCCGTGCGCCCACTCTGAGAAATCTGAAAGCTGTTTCCGGAGCGGCGCGCCCTCGAGGGATTGAACAACTGTTTCCGGAGAGGCGCGCCGCGCCCTTGGATTGCAAAATCTCTCCGCCCTCGGAGGCGCCGTCCAGGGGAAGATCACGAGTCCCCCTCCCTCTGCAGAGGCGCGGCGGGCGGCGCGCCCCTCAAAAGAGATCGAACTACTTCTCGGCGTGCTGCGCCGCGCGCCGTTCTGGGGACTGGGGAAAGAAAACCTTGCGAGGCGTGCCGCGCGGCGCGCCCTCCAGAGAGGCTGAAGAAGATCGCCCTTCAGAGACGCGTCGCGTGGCACGCCCTTCACGGAAATTGCAGAGTCTCTCTCTCTCTCTCTTGAGAGTCGCGTTGCGCGGCGTGCTCTTCGAGGGGCTCGAGAAGGCTCTCCCTTTAGAGACGCGTTCCGCAGCCCGCCTTTCAAGGGAATGGACAGACGAAAGTAAGCATTCCCTACCTTGAAAGCAAGTGCGCAACCGCTGATTCACACCAAGCGCGGAGTCAACTCACGCACGGCGAAGTCGAAGGGGCGGCGCGCGCGTTGTGTGCACATGAAAAATACGCCACCACATGCTATACGTTGGCTGTTGTTGTTGTCTGGTGAGTGTCTTGGCGTGTCGTCGTCGTTGTTTATTCGAAGAGGTTTTCTGAATATTTGCGTTTGTTCGCCGATGTTTTTTGTCGGGGTGGGATTGTGTGGGGGGCGTCACGTCGCCGTTCATCGCTGACACTCGGTAAGGGTGCAGGAATTCGATGTTCTTCGCTGGTCTCTCTGATCGGGTGGGTTAGACGAGGATTGAAGGGGAGCGATCATTTCACTACTGCATACGGATGGGGTTTTCGCCCAGGTAATTCCAATACGTCGGATCTTTGGGTACCGAAGGGGTGCCGAGGGTTGGCCACTTGGGACATCGAACTGCTCGCAAAAAAAAAAAAAAAAAACAAAAAAAACAACAAACAACAACATGTATAACATATTATATATAACATTAAACTTTCACTAGGAATAGTAATAATAATAGGAATACTAATAATAAGAAGAAGAAGAAGAATGCTTCTTAACAAAAAATTCAGGGGGGAAAACAAAAAAAACATATAAACAATATATATATATATATATATATATATATATATATATATATATAAGGGGAAAAAAAAAAAAAAAAAAAAAAAAAAAAAAAAAAAAAAAAAAAAAAAAAAAAAAAAAAAAAAAAACTCGGATCTCTGGTCGGAGCTGGCGCCCACGCGCCAGATCTATGGACTCCCACCCCCGGGGTGGCGCGTGCCCTGGGGCGAGGTCGGCGGGCAGGGCCGGCGGGCAGGGCCAGCGGGCGGGGCGGGGCGGGGCGGGCAGCCTGGGCCTCCCAGACGGGCTCAGAGTACACATTGTCCAGAGATCCTGCGACCCCTCCTCCTCCTCCTCCTCCTCCTCCTCCTCCTCCTCCTCCTCCTCCTCCTCCTCCTCCTCCTCCTCCTCGTCCTCGTCCTCCTCCTCCTAGTCGGCGTGGGCAGGATCGAGGCTTTACCGACCCGCCAGGAGGGGAAGAAGCTTCCATCACGCGATTTGCACGGCCTATCCGCTTGCTGCCTCGGCCAAGGGAGGAGGCAGGGGGAGAGGAGGGCAGATACGGCCACATACGCCCGCAGTCCGCCTAATGAAAATAGTCACTTACAATCCACAGAGCGCAGCAATGAGCGAACGACTAGAAGACATGAGCTGCGAACTGAAGGGCTGGGACATAGTACTATTAAACGGAACACATCACTGGGCGGCAGCAGAGGGAGTATTCACCCACCGACTACCACACAATTTGGCATATCGGTTTGGAGGGAAGAAAGGCAAGCTGGTGACGAAGGTCTGTGGAATCGCCATTCTGGTTGCTCACCACATACACCCGACGTCCCTACGAAGCACTTATGTCCCCCCAGCAGAGATCCAAGGTCGAGTGGGGGGCCTCCGTATTTGGTCCAGAGAAGTGGACTTCTGTTGTTTTAGCGTTTAC